TCAGCCATAACAGACACCAAATCAGATTCAATCAGGTTTGCAATCACTCCATGAGTTGTTCGGTAGCTGAAGATGCACAGAGCGGAGGACGCATTGCAGCATGAAAGGGGTACGTGGCGGTGGATAGAACATGGTTTGTGATAAAGGAACAAAAAAAAACAGATGAAAACAGATGGCGGAAGATACACTACCTCTTTGAATTTCGTCTGAATCCATCTTTTGAACGAAACATCGAACATGTTCGGCGTACTTATTATCAGAACACAGACAGTATCAGGATCATGGGGTAATTTGAATGGAGTACCCACTGCATTGTTGTATTCGCCCACCTGAAAAATAATTCTACCCTAAGTTTATGAAAAATGGGCGCTGCTCGGCTTGAGGGGAACATTCTGCACTCTTGGCTGTTTTTTCTGCTGATTCGCATTAACTAACTGCTCTCATTCTGGTCAGACTTGTAAACTCTTGGCAAAATGAAGCTGCAAAATGGCACAAGCGAGCGAGCACTTTGGTTACAAGCATTTACAGGCTTTCACAGAGTGACCTGAACAGGGTTATTTGGTGCCCCACAAAGCCAAACCGTGAAAAAATACAGTTGTCAAGGTCAGAATTCGCGATAGCGTCGATCGCGCATGCGCTACTTATGGTAGAGCTTGGCGAAAGCAGAAGGCTGACTTCCAAAGGATCAAAACCAAGCGGTCGCGAGGCCAGATCCCATTGCTTACTCCTAGAAGAAAACAAAAGGACAAAGGCATTTGGATGGGCCAAGCAGGGGCGCGTCTACGCCACATCACTCCTTACCTCATGTCTTTGAAGCATCAAGATGAGCAAATGCACTCTCCCGTTCGATGACAGGAAGAGGACATGCGCAGCATAGTCGCTCGCCGCGTGATACCCCCCCTCCCCTCCAAAACCACATTTCCCTAAGAACCAAAATAAAAAAAATCAAAGCAAACATACGCTGAACAAGTATGATTCGAAACCATCCTCCATGGTAAGCTCTTCATCGATCAGACCTTTGACAAAATAAGCTTGATCATCGTGGACGTCTTTGACGATGGGAGCCATTCTTGAATTCAAAACAATTTTTTGAGCAGCTATACACTGACCGTACTCATAACACATCACTAGGTAAAGTAAGAAGAAAGAAGTAGCGATGAAAACCGCTTCGAGCAAATGGAAAACAACACTCACAAAACTGCATTTACTTATCACAATAATGGAAGTAAAAAACCTTCGTATCATTTCGGTGTGAATGATCTGTGCACGGTGTAAATCCATCCCCCTTTGCTGAGCTGCCTTCAGAGTTCGCGATGCGGTTGAATTTGTAGCGCTCCAGAGCCCACTTCGAGGCAGTGGGCACTATGGCTGAAGGCGGGCGGCTGCTGCCATACGTCGGTGGTGGAGGCCTGCGAGAGCGTCTAGCCACACCCCACTTCACTCTTCCACCAATGACGTTAGTAGCAAGCGCCCGCCTCCGAGTATCGTGTTCACTTTCCTTAGGTTTTGAGCATGGAGATAACCCAACGATATAGTAAACTGATGTAGAATAGCTGACAGTAAACTGCAGTACGAAGGGAGACCTGTACGACATTGGCAATTATCGCCCAATCTGCCTGCTGTCTGTAGTCTACAAACTCTTCACACGAGTCATCCTGAACAGGATTGGCAGAACACTAGACGAAGGACAGCAAGCAGGGTTTCGAAGAGGATTCAGCACGATCGATCACATCCACACGGTAACGAAGCTCACAGGAGTACAAGATGCCGTTATGTCTCACGTTCATCGACTTGAAGAAAGCCTTCGACTCCGTTGAGACAGAAGCGGTTATCGAAGCCCTGGGCAACCAGGGTATTCCTACTCAGTACATCAGGATTCTTCGTGAGCTCTACAGCAACTTCACGACCAAGATTTCACCATTCTACAAGG